ACACGACAATCTTTATTAAGGAGGATCGCCAAACGATTGTTGTCTAACAAAACGCTGACAATATGGTCCGAGAGCATGCGGATATAACGCAATTTGTATGTGTGTGTAGAGGTTGGGGGAAAAAAGCGTGCAAAAAATTCGAACAAAATTGGTTCAAAGACAGTTTCACAACACTTTCACATGCATATGGATGTATCACCTTTTCGAGATTCTCGTTTTCGCCTTCGTTGTCGTTCAAAGACGGATTCAGCTTCAGATGGTGTTAAGGGACGTACTGATACTCGACTTGATATACGTGTCCACTTTCCAGTAGTGATGTCCTCGACACGTACAGCCGGTGAATTTGAACGGCTTGGTGAAGGTGAACTAGTTGAAGCGGCTGATGACGATCGGTAGGTTTGTTGTGATGATAGACTGCGATTTGCGTAGTCTTCTGATGGTAGACTATCAGAGACAATTAGCTTTCGTCCTGGTGAACTGCCGCTAATGCCGCAACTGAAGATCATCCAACGAGCACATCAGCATGCTGTAAGAAACGCCGTCACAATGTGGGACTCTTGCCCTAATGGTTGATGAGCGTGCGAGTGAGTTATAAGTAGTGATTTTGGATCACTTTTGAAGCTATTTATAAATATAAAGGGGAATACTAGTTAAAGTCAAGTTGTCTTATATGGTTGGATGATATGATGGCAGTGGTGGATATGCTGTCAAGCGGAGCTCTGACGACTACCTAGCGCTCAGCAGGGCGTGATTCAGTAGTGAATGGCCACAATAGTCAAGAAGAAAACAGCGACAACCTTGCGTTTTCAATACGTGTTCAGTGGCCCATTCAATATAGCGCTGTTTGGTGGAATGAAGTTCTCATCGGCTACCGAGAAGATATGATGAAAGAATTTTCTGATTGATATGTTGTAACTACAATATTCTTATAGTGTAATGATAGTAGTAGAAAGCAGCACGAGATAAAGAAACGTGCGAAACCAAGGTGTAAGGTTTCTGATTGCAGATAGTCGACACATAAGCGTTGAAAGCACAGGCTGACTGGTCCCGAAGCGAAAGAAGGACAGGAAAAAACGAGAACAAAAAAGCGAAAATCATTCACAGAGGCATAGAACTGGTGAGCGCTGGGCACAATGAATGCAAAAATGAGAGCGAGAACAAGAAAATGGCTGTGGTATTTATAGAGTAGTATAGGGGGTGATTTGTGCCAGCCAGCTAGATCGTGGTGGTTTGGTTACTAAGCAACTCCCGTCTGCAGTCTTATGAGATCAGAGCTGTCCCCAATCAGTCTCTACCTCCCGTTGACTCTTTTCGCTCTTCATTTCGCCCTCTTTTTTCACTCTCTCACTCACTAGTCGCTGAACCTCTGCATTTCTGACTATAGCAGTAGTAGTAATGCGTGTTTTCAATTTCGAATAGAGCGGTAAACATGTTTTGAGCGCAAAGTCTGATCCGCCTATTGAAAAGCAAACATAGCCTACTGTTTCTTGTACTATTGTTGTTCAGAATTGCCAATGGGTTAGAGGGTGCGTGTGTATGGGACAATAGAAGGCAACCTAAGGCGGAACAAACAAAATTACTTCAAAATAAACTCGAATTCATGGGAAAATAGGCTGCAATATCCCGACAATGCATCGACGCGGCCCCGTTGCACCAAAGTCGGCTGGCTGGTGCTGGTTGACAAGGGGGGTGGGTCCATGCTGCCCTCCCCGAGGACATCGATTCACAGACGCGTCTTCGCTGATCCCTTAATGATGACCGATTGTCACTCGGTGTCATGATACTAGTTAATAATGTTAGCCCGATTTGTCGCGCACTCTTTAGCGCGCTGTAACTGGACGCCGCGCTATTGACACATCGTATTGTTCTACTACGCGGGCGAAACTTGAGTGTATCTACCAGTTCACTTTCAAGTTGTGATGTTTTTATGCGACCTCTCCCCTCTAGCCCGTTTCTCCTCCATTAGCACACTCACAGCATTGGTTTTTTGATGAATGTTACTTCTGGGTGGCCAAAACAGTAAACAGGTGTTGAATTTACGACTTTGTTTATTGTTCAACAGTGGCAGCGTTGAAAGTGAATTTTGAAATCAAGATTTGAGTAAACAAAACACTTGACAGTATGGAAGTGAAGAGTAAATTAGATAAGAGAGGAGTTCCAGAAGTACTGAGAAGATTGAATAGTAAAGTAAAGCTCAGCTTTGCAGAGTGGATAATGCCGTTGCAGCAACTCATTCTCTTCTATCCGAGGCTAGAAAGGGCAGTGAATAATGAGTTGGAATGGGTTTTGCGGACGGATCGGCCTAATGGCTGGCTCCCACGACGTTCAGATGAAAACTTTGGTCAGCGAAGGCATTATCTGATACGGGACGTCTGGCATTTATGATTTTTCCCAGGATGACAACTAAAAATCCCCTCAACGTCTCTGACAGATGCCGAACGGAATTGAAAGACCTGTCAGCTTTCGCTCAATTGCCAGCGATTAATATCCAGATGGGTTTGTCGCGACTCTATGCAAATGAACAGCGAAAGCCCCCACAGCCAGATTGTTATCGTGGCAGGATACTAGTCTGATATTACCAGTTGATTGAATTCTCATGCATTTTTTTGAGGGACAGCTCCCATAAACAACGCAAGCGATGATCGCTATGGCGAGGCATCGTAATCAAGGCACACCATTACGTTGTGGAAACTCTTTACTTACGTTAATTTCCTCCCCGGTACGGACCATTTATAACCTCCCTTCCGGTACTACCTACCCTTTATTGCCCCAGTTTTTGATGCTCAGAACTCCCATCCTTCTGCAAATTGGTATGTAAGGGTGGCTCGACCCCTCCCTCTCATAGACAATTCCCAGAAATAGCCTTTGCCGCGGGGAGACACACTTATCGGATCAACTTGCACAAGTAGTTTTGCAGCGCCGCCGACCAAAGAGAGGCATAGCGCGCCGCGTGAAACGGGAAAAATCAGTAGTCGGGGAAATTCTTCCAGTCCGAACGACCCCCTCCATTCAGGGACCCGAGGCGTTTCCCCCCCCCGTTGTTTTTCCCGAACGGATGATGCACCCTGACCGCACTGGGTGGTCCACGGCGGATAGCTGCCATTACGTAGTGGGGTTTCCGAGCTGGGAACCGACCATTCCCCCATCACTGATATTTCCCAAAAATTGCCTTGGCCGACGAACGCGGAGATGGACATATGGGATCAACTTTCAGAAGTACTTTTGCAGCGCCGCCGACTAAAGAGAGGCATCGCGCGAAACGGGGAAAATCAACACTCGGAGAAGTTTCCCTAGTCCGAGTAAGACCCCAACCACTCAGGAGACCAGTGCGTTCCCTACCCCCTCCCACCCCCACCCTGTTTCCCCACAATGGATGATGTGCCTTGACCAAAGTGGGTGGTCCACAGCGAATGACTGCCATTACGTGGCGCAATTTTCGGTCTGGGAAACAACCACTCCCTTTCACTGATATTTCCCAAAAATTGCCTCTGCTGACGAGCGCGGGGACAGACATTTGGGATCAACTTTCAAGAGTAGTTTTGCAGCGCCCCCGACTTGCGTAGGGGCTGCAGCGCGCGTGAAACAGGAAGATCAACAATCAGGAGGATTCTCCCCTGACTAGTAACCCCTCCTCCCTCCAGGGGTGGGTACCTCCCTTACTTCCTTGTTTTCCCCACAACGGATGATGTGCACTGACCGTAGTGGGTGATCTACGGCGGATGGCTGCCATAACATAGCGGAATTTTCGAGCTCGGAAACAACTCGTTGAAGTGCTATTGTGGTGCAAAAGCATAAACAAGTCGGCTGGAGGGTAAACATCCAGCTGTCATGAAATATGCGAATAATAAAGAAGGGGAATGAAGTAGAAGCGGATTACCAGTACGGATGTTATAGCAACTGAAAGCCAGACAGAGAGCTAGTGTGTAAGAGATGAGAGTTTTCTTATATAGAGTTTTTGATAGCCGATGAGAAACATGTGTAAAATTACTGAAAATAGCCAGTTGTTGTTCCGGGGGCGAGACTTAGTAACGAGCGAGAGCTTTTTTTGTTGGTCAGACTGCAACAAGTGAACAGGAGCAGCTATGGTGGTTGTAGTCTAGTAGCTAGCGCTCAATATACATGAAGAAGAGGTCTTGAGGTGTATGGAGGATGTGAATATGGTTGTTTGATGAGGACCTGGGCGAGGAGCGTGCGGTGCAGTTTGACGGTATTGTTGCGAGACAGGGCGAAGGCATTACCGGTTTTCGCGAGGTTGCACGAATAATTACAGGAGAGAATCACGCTCATGCATGCATATAATGGATACATTCTCTAACGATTAAACGTGTAGTTCTGGTTCGTTCGGTGGAGGGGGTTTTCATGCGGCGAAAGCGCTCTCTATTGGTGATGGCGCTGATGGTAGAGCCGTCACATAGCCGTCGGTCGGTCGGCGTCGTGAAGAGAACGAAATTGACGACGACATGGTGAACGTGAACACAGGCACAGGCAAAGATCGGAGATGAATGCGAAGTGGTGGGGGCTAGACCGAGCTGGACTGGACCACACGAGCCTTGTGGGAATCTCGCTTGACAAGTAAGTGAGAGGTTTGCATTTGAGGACCGCCCTTGTTTACTGCATATCGATTTACCGTGAAAGTCGACATGCAAAATGGGGGGCTGCGCCTTTGCTGCCGCGAAGCGCGATGGAACTGCAGTGGGCGGATCTGTTTTGACTCAACAGCGGGCGGTGCCGCTACTGCCCGACGAGATTTTTGCCGCGTCCCCCTTTTATGTGTTCCTCTGGTTGTTTTCGTCATTGTCACTGTACATGGTCGTTTTCTATTATCATGACTTTGTCATAATCATCCTTTTAGCTCAGAATAACGAAGGACATTCATCGGAACGCAAGGCTACCCTACCAATCTGGCACGAAAATGAATCAACCTCACACATAATAAAATAACTAAAATCTAAAAATAAACTATCAGTAGTGTTACCGAGGCAATACGTTTATTGACCAGAATGTTATTTGTATTGCAGGGTTATCTGTCAGAAGCAGGTGCGTCATTGGTTGACAAAAAACTGGGACTGAACATCGTACCGACAACGGCATTGGTGGAATTGGCAGCACCAACATTCTACTATGGACGTGTAGATCGTGCAAAAGCCAGAGCCAAGGAACGTATCCAGTCAAGATATCCCGATCTGGGCCGACGATTTCATCGAATTGGTCTTCCTCCAAAGGTCAGCTGTATACATTGCCCTGATCAGCTGTACAAGCGAAATCGATAGAATGTTCTGGACACATGACAACGCGCACGTACACTGTACAGATTAGTGCTCATTGGAAGTCACCCATCAAACGAACGAACGAACGGTCCAGGCCGTCGTCATGTGTTCATGTTCAGGGGGATTAGTTCGTTGCCCGCAGTAACGGGGGTTTTTAAATAGTTCGATAAACCAACTGAACAATCGCTGAATGTATTAGCGGCAGCGCTTCTCTGATACTTACTTCTAACTTGTGCTAAAACCTGAAGTTTCAAAGGCGGAATTTGAAAGAAAAGGGATTGGAGGACGTGTTGACGTGCAGGTCGAGTGTTAGATGAAGGGGCAAAGGAGAGAAGGGGGGAGGGGTAGGAGGCGTTACATGTTTTGTTGCGAGCATCAACGGCGAAAACAGATGAAATACTAAGTACCGAAGGGTGCCTAGTAATGTATGACCAGTAACAGTTGAAAATAAGGACGATAGTAGTGGCTGGAGCAGTTGATTTGTGGTGTTGAATACCCACCCGATAGACAGACAACAACAATCTGGCTGTGATCGTGAAATGCCGTAAAAGAACTTCATAGACCTTGCAGACCTTGATGGGAGAAATTACAGTGCCGTCAAGAGAACTTAGTGTACACCTAATTATGTCTGGGCAATGTTGTTGCAGTTATCGGTAATGTACTGCGATGAACGCGGGGGGTGAAAAGTGTTCATTGTATCCAGCGCTATCAGTCCCAGGCTGTCGCTTTACATGTGAATGAGGGGGCATTTTAACCAGTCAATATAGCTCAGCACATATGATGACTCAGCAACGCCCCGTCATTTCGTTGAAAAATTTAATATGTTCGCGTTTAAAATGTGGACATATTGCAGCATCCAGATGTATAGGAAAAAATTCATCGCTATTTTCACTTTACTGCTTCCACACTTCGCAGTATAGGCCAGATTCTAAACGGTAGTTAAACCCTGTGAACACGAACACCACATCTATCCAGAGCGAGAATGTCTGGCGTCTGCGCCATGGGAGAAGCGCAAGGACTTCTGAAGCCGGCGCCCATAGCGCATTTGCCAGGCACCAAAATCGGCGTATTGAGGTATTTAGGCGCTGGAGCTGGCTTTTGAGGTCCTTAAGGGATGGCGCCTATGGCATGGGGGGGGGGGGGGGCGCACGGTTCTGGGCCAGACGAGGGTAGGTATTTTACCCTCGCGAACCCGAGCATGGCACTTTTCTAAAGCGAGAGCGTATAGGGTCCGCGTCATGGGCGGGCGGGTAGTTCGAGCAGGTGCCCATAGAGCACCTACTAGGCCTTTTCACACCAAGTTAATGTGATATTTGGGTCCGTGTGGGTTAAAATAGTTCTGGGGAGACAAAGTTTTCACCAAGTGTGGTATTTCGAGGTGTTTCAGCGCCAGGGTCTGCCACGGGGGCCAGACGGCTCTGGACCAAGGGGACGCGACACTCCTATTCGGGCGTTTAGACAACACCTGGAGACGAAATTCCAGTGAAATCTACCCGATCCTCCAATCAAACCGCTTCAGAACGGAAAAGAAAACCATCGGAATCTGGCCGCAGTTTCGAAGAGAGGGGCCAGTTTAGGGTGAATAGTCTCAAGTTTTCGAACTTTATGTCCCCGCTGTAGCCTAAGTGTGAGAAAAGATGAAAGGGATAGGATTAGTGGTGATGCGCTGGGGATAGTGCTAGGGACAGAGGTGTAGGAGACAAGCTGCAGAATACAAAGCGTTCAAAGCGATCAAATTACTCGGGTGTGCTCCGAAAGTGCACACATAGACAGACGTGTCCAAGCGCGAACGCTATTCCATTTGCAGAAAGGCAGCTTCCAATTGTTCGTCACTGGCTATCAAGATGCGGCCCATTGGCTTCGTATATGGGATAATTTCCCCGAACAAGCACCACCACCCGTCACTCAACGAGAATTTCAATTACTATTTGAGAAGATTGTCGTGTTGGACTATGTGATCAGAAATACAGGTATCGATTGGTAAAATTGATTGGTAAAATCAGTGTTCCTGCTGATGACAAGAAGAAGTTTCAGATCGTGGAAATGATAACTGGTTGATCAAGTACGAACAGGCGGAGGTAGTTGAAGCTCCGGTCGTTCCGAATGATCCGAATCCGACTAATGTCGAAACCCAGGTGATTTATGTGAAGCATTTAAGATGATGATGATCACTTATCGTCACGATCCGCTGCTAATCGAGTTCGAGTTTTGGTAGATGGCAAGCAAGAGGCTAGATACAAAGGGGTTTAATAAGAAAAATTCTATAAATTTTTTAGGCAGTACCTGACGAAGGCCAATTGATCGATTTGGCAGATTTGAACAATCGAGCGTGTGGACCTGAAGGTGAATAATCCAATTCGTGACGTTCAATAGATACTGTAGACTGATGAAGTGCAGTAGTGGAGGCCTGTTGGGAGTAGGACGATGTCGTTCGCGTATTGTCAACGTCAACGCCGGGGGTATCTTCAGTCGTCCCGTACGTGGTCGACATATGAGCAGAACAGCAACAATGCCAGTTCGTGAATCGTTCGAATGATTGAGCACAAAAGTGTCGGGGGGCCTGTAGACCACACCTCTTTATGCCACGCACTTTTTTATTTTATCTCTCCCATGTGTTATGCAGTGAATAATCGAGTAGATTACTGAATTGTAAACAGTGCGGCGACACCGGTTAGATATGGTATTTGTCGTTTACACAATAAGTACTCGAAAAGGAAAGGTGTTTATTGAGGTCTCAGAAGTCTCAGAATTCCCTACTCTCACAGCCATATCAGGGTCCTCTCCTGCCCATTCATAAAGGTCTCCATCTGTCAATGTGCAAAGCCGTACTTGTTCTGCACTTTTGCATAGAGGGGAACTCGCAGCTATTGATAAATGTCCCCCATGTTTGTCGCTTTCCTTAAATCGATTGTTAATATAAAAACATTTTTGCCCTCGCCACATATAGCGCGCGCCACCCGAACCACCGTATACGCCATAGGCTTCTCTTATCGAAAACCAGAAAGAGAGAAGGGGGAGATTTCACATGATATTCCAAGTGTTTAGAACTTGTCGACGAACAACAAACACGATCATCAGCTGAACCGGCACCAGCCGAAGTGGAATGGGCCGATGTGACGGTACCGAAGGTGTCAATCGCGGCTATTGATAACGGGCTAGCGTTTCCGTTCAAACATCCAGATGAATGGAGAGCATGTGAGTTTCACCTTTTAATAGACTATCAACATTCAACTAGAAAGTTCGACCAGATTTGTTTATCCAAGAATCGTGCAAAATAGTGCGATATGAACGGGGAAAAAACGTTCCCGAGAACTGAACTCTGATCCTAAAAAACTTGCCCATTGATCATTTGGTACTTATACACCTGCCTTGATAATAGCAAATAATGCCAATGACCGTAATGTTGCGAGAATGCCCAATGACTTGTTAATTGACACAAGTCATTTTTCTTAGAAGGGTCCTGAGACGAAAGGAACGCCGTCTGTCCGACTGTGTTTATATTTGAGTGTATCGAATTTCATCGAGGGCTATCCTAAGGTCCCAGGCGAGAAGCTAGCCTTGTGCAGTTCTTTTTCTGTTGTTCGAAAGCCATCGCCTAAAGCCTTTGCACACAGCAAAGCGTGGATTCAGTTGCCGTTTTTCATTTTGACAAAAAAATGTGTCCCATCGTAAACAACCACGTCCCGTTCTCTCCCCTCGGCTGTATTTTTCCCCTCCCCGTATTAGCCAGCGCCAAATTTACATACGTAACTGATTGTATGTGTTCGCAAGCGCCCATGAGGAAAATGGTAGCCAATAGGAGAGGAAATGGTCGTTTTTTTATAAGGGGTGTTGAAAAATGGTGGGAATGGCGATCTGCAGTTCCTAATGATATAGGCAGCTATAGTACTAGGAATAGGAAATGGTCGTTTTTTTATAAGGGGTGTTGAAAAATGGTGGGAATGGCGATCTGCAGTTCCTAATGATATAGGCAGCTATAGTACTGAATAGTATGAGTACGGTGGCCGTTATATACGGATGTTTTTTCCGAGTTACAGTCGGCGAAATGATGATGTTTTTTTGTTCAGGCGGGGAAACATCCCGATCGCATTGCCCTTAGCATCCCCTCCTCTTCTACCATCGTATAAACACAATTTGATAGATTGAGGGACATAGAGGAATTAACGATGACAACAAGGAATAGCCTCAGTGTTCCTCAAATCCCCACCATCAGCGCCATCGGCCGAATCGGAACAAATTCCATGAAATTCTTCCCCTATACGCTCTATATTGGGGGCTCGCCGTGCAACAATTGAGTTTTACCCATCGCTGGGTCGCCTTCTATCGGCAGCAATCCAACCAAAATGAGACCAGTCTCATTTCGTGTCGATGCCGATGCCGCCGTTTGCTGTCACAACTAGGCAGAGGCAGGAGGGGCAAAGATCATCATTTGCCTCAGTCGTTTGCCGCTAGCTAATATGCAATTGCGAATGCATTTCATTTCTCTGGAGGAACGCTGTGGATTACGAGTTCTTAGCTGAATCGTAATCGGGCCAGCCGGCAACGCCGTAGTAAAGGGGTTGAGAGAGGAGGAGGGGACTGGACTGAGGTTCAGAGGGCTATGAGGAATGCCAGGAAGCCTGTCACATATGAGACGATGACCTTATCTCATCGCGATGTTTGTTTCCTAAGGCTGGAATCGATCGCGCTGGCGCTATTTCATACATATTCTAGTGCATTAGATGTATGCAATCACGCTAACTGGACAGAATTTCCATGGCAAGCAAAAACGTCCATGAAAACAATCGAAATCAAAAAGGGGAAGTCTCTTGTTTTCTATTTTTCCTACAATTTTTTTCTAAAAAAAACCAAAAATTACCGTATAGTGACAGCTTGATAATAGAAATTCCTCAGCCAATAGGTTGAGGTACAAGGCACAGATATACTGGTATTGATTCCTTATTGCTCCTGGAAAATCAGTGACGTCATCAAATTAAGTCTAGACATGTGTTGTGAAAACAGAGGGTTCAAAATATGAAGGGTCTAGAGAAACATTTAGCACTGGAGGACTAAGAAAATATGAGGCGGTCAACAAGGGATGAGGAGATGTCGAGGTAACTTGAGACGTAAGCGACTGGGACGAAAAAACGGGCCGTCGTTGTTGTTGTGAGAGAATCTGACAGCCAATCGAGCAGAGCTCATGGTTGACAATGAATTACACAGTAGTAGAATATAAGTGTTACATTTAGCGTGAAAAGCGAGCTTTTGTTGGGGCAATTGAAGTGGAACATGAAAAATTTTCATGAACTGACAACATCAATCAAAAGTGAATGTTGTGATAAATTACTGAAAAATAGTCGAAAGTGTAATGTGCAAAGCAGTAATCAAAGGGATAAATATGGTAATGTTAACTGGTTGTGGGAAGTTAAGGTTGTTTGTAAAGAAAAGAAAAGTCTTTTCCGCCAGGGCATATGGAGATGCGCGCTTTCCGGGGTATGATGGGACCGACCGAGCTGATGCGCGGCGATGGTGACGCAGCGAGGGAGGCCGTGGGGGCTTATTGTTCTGATGACGACACAACAATAGGTCTATATAAAAGTTTTTATGGCTTATACAAGTAATACACACAGTGAAACTGGTTTCAGCTCAGTGAAGAATGGGTTTTTCCTAGCATAAAGCAATGTAGTATTTGTTATTGCAGATCCATTTGGATGGGCATTACTACCGATGGCACAGAAACCATTTAGTGATGAAACAATTAGTGCTATATTACCACTTCTCGATGATACAAATTTTGTACGTGAATTAGGCGAGGAATTAAAACAGGTCTTTAAGGTGTGTCCGAATTTTTGTCTATTTTTCCATGCAAAATTCAATTAAAATTGACAACTTTTCAGAAAGACAAGGGATTTGACAAGAAGATGTTTGAACGTCAATTATCGGTAATGCGTGGACAGATCTTCAATTTGAGAGAAGCGCTTCGCACGAAGAAAGTCGCCCTATCAATTAATTCTTGTACGAGTTTCTACTAATTGAGGCTAAATGTATACTGTAGGGGATTACAGTATCCTGTGGTATAAGGACAATAATCGATCGATAGAAAGCGGATTTTCTGAGACTTTCCGTGTCAGAAGGAGCGGGAAAAGCTCAGAACTGGTATGAAGCCGGGTAAGGAATGGAATTAACTTGGCTGCATGTGGCTAAGACTTTTTGGAGCTAGAAACCGCTCCCTGGTAACTCTTATTTTCTTGGCGGTATCGATTTTTGTGCGGCCGACTCTCGGACTCGTCGGACATTAAACGTTCACAATGAATGTTCCTCGAAGACCAACATGTGATAGTACGGTAGCGCTCAGAAAAGGGCTAAAGTGTACAATTTAGACATAAAGTTGTTATAGGAGGATTGAGTACGGGGGGTTAGAATGGGATGGGGTGAACGTTTGAGTGAATGTGATTCTTTGGTGCTTACAAGCATAAATCTCCATACTTAATGTACAATTTGAATCGATTGGGACTTGGTAGTGACCAGCTACGGAAATGCACTAGTTTTTCAGGACACAATGCAGTTGAATTATTCAATATACTTTTAACAATTGTAGTAGGGATTAGTGCAACAAGTAGCTTTTCTATGGAGATTTGCGCGAGTTGATTGGGCTGGCTGGCCCTAACATACCCCCTGCAGAGCAGAAAGGCCGCAAAGCTCTCGAAATTGGGGTGGTGCCTCTTGTATAGATCCTTATCTCCTTCGAATCCTCAGCCTCACCAATAACACTCGCCAGTGAGGAAGTGAGGATAATGTATCGACTGCGTCCCTTTGAAAAACATCCAAGGTTTCATGAGAATTCCCTCGTTTGTTAAAAATCTCCGCGTCGAGGTCAGTGTAGCCTTTAATTCATGGGCAACCCAGCATGAGTTCATTCTGGCCTTGAAAAAGAACTTGTAATTTCGCGGTGTGAGTAAGGGAATTGCACTGTTGACGCTTCACCCCAAAAACAAGTCCTTGAAGTAACTGGTAAATCCTATCATACTTCTCTATTAGAGCGATATTTCGTGTCTATTTCTTTGGCGCGTTTTCCTGCTCACCATATATCCCTTGCCTTTTATCTCTCAACTCGTTGCATTACCACAGCTGTTCGATTACGAAAATGTATCAGATGTTGGTTATAAAACAAAAGTTCAATGACTCGCAGTATTGTGCAGATGATGAGTCACTGCATTGTTCCAGAGGGTTATTTCCTCAAACGAGCTAAATGTAACCCTTTTTCCTCGGACTATTCAGTTATATAACTGTTTATGCATTGCAGATGCCTGCTCAGTATATGGTGGAAGTGAAGCAGAAAAAGCGACGACAACGTTTTCGTTCAGAAAATGAGGATCGGACAGACAATGAATGTAAGTCTTGAAGGGGTAGCCTTAGAGGGGGGAAATTGGGTGAATAGATGAAAACGACTGAAGTGTTGTTCAGTCGGGTTAAACAAGTGCTCTCGGGGCTATTCATTTGCTCAAACATGGCTAACTAGTAAAAAGTGTTTCTCAGCAATGAAATACATTGACAGCAGCAATACTTGTCAGTTTGAAAAGCCTCCAATAATGCATTCTTCTATTCGGGGAAGTTTTTCCTCGAAGAAAAGGACAAGTGAAGCGTTGTAAACACTTGCCAGGAGGAAGTCTTTCAGTTGTGTATCCAAATGTTTGGGGGGAGCGGGGTTGTTTGTGCCTGCGCTATAGCCATAATAATAGTTCTCATCAGCGCAGTTATTATTATTACTACTGGGGACGAGCTATATTGGTGAGAAATTTGTATAGACCGATAGACGGGGGGGGGCTGCTATGCTGCGGATATGTTTGAGGTGGAGGTTGAGCTATTTGGTCATGGAAAGGCTATTTAGTTAATCACCACCAGCTAAAACGCTCTCAGTAATGAATCTTCGCAAGCGCACTTGATGTGTCTATTGAAAAGGAGAATGGCCTGAATAATTTATTAGGTATTTGGGCGCTAATAACCTTGGGGTTATTTAAGGAGCTCGTTCTGCAAATCTGGGATTACCTGGGTTCGGGATTACCGTACATACTTGGAACTGGTTCGCTTGCCCAGGTGAATTTAGCAGAAGTGCAAAATGCATCCCCCCCCCTTCTCGTCGCCAAACTGCGACGACTTTGCCTCCGTCGGGGTAAACTTATTTTTGCCAAAAGAGTCCTTTTAGTGTCCTTCAAGTTTACTAGCGCCCGTATTTGCTCAGTTTATTTGTTTGGAAGGGATTCTTCTGTAGAGTATTACCTAGGTTTGGGATTACTGTACTTGAAGCATCTGTTCAGTATTCCTTCCCCCTTGACTTGAGCAAATACTTGGTCTCTTTTGCGGTGGTCTCGTTTTTGCACGGGGAATCCTTCAAGTGTTCCCCAGGGTTACTAGCGCCCCCCCCCCCTTTGCTCAGCTAGTTTCTTTCAAAGGACTTTCTCCGTAGAATCGGGTTACTTAGGTTCGGGATTACTGTGCTGGAAAATGGCTTACCTTCTCTGGTGTTCCTTCCCCTTGAGACTTGGTTGAAAAACTTTGTCACCATGACGGCAGTCTCATTTTCGCGCAAGGAGTCCTCTGAATGTCCCCCAATGTTACTAGCGTCCGTATTTGCTCAGTAAAATTGTTTGTTACTGGGTTATGGGACAGTTCCCCTTATAAAGTTATCGCTTGTGTTATAGTCACCACTTGAACTGATACGGGAAGTGATTGCTTCCGTGTAGTGCGAACACAGTATCTACTGGTATGAAAGGAAGGCTATAAAGTAATGGAGAAGTATTAGGTCAATTCATGAATAACGCCGTTATTGACGGTACTTGCCCTTTATGCTTACTACTCAACTCCTCGAGAGAGAGCGAAACGCAGGCGGACATTACTCTGGTCCTTCGCGCCCCATGGATGCGAGGGTAGGGGTTTGGGGGAGCGCAAGCGTGCAAGGTAATGGTGGACGCAACTGTTCTTAGTCCAAATAAGGTGCGCAGGAGCGGGGCTGAAGGGTAGTGGTACCCAAGTGTCGTCTCTCGGCTCCACCTGCGCCACGCCTAACCATAGCAAGACGCGCTACTTGCCTGCGCCCTCTCTCTTCTGGTTGTTCTCTGCCGCTGACTGCGTGCTGCGTGTCACTTTTTCCCCCTCAGAAGTACATGGGAACGGGGCTGGAGAGTAGTGATATCTATACGTGGCTGCCGTCCACGTACTGCGCCCGCGCTATGCTTAAGGGGCAGCGTTTGCTCAGATACCACGGTCTCGCAGCGAAACACATACTCAGCGGTGGTAAACAATAAGAAGTGAGAGGGTGCAGACAAGTAGAGCTTTTGGCTATAGTTTGTCGCGTGGCTGGCCGTATTGCAACGAAGGCAAAGAGTGGAGACGGTACCCGGGTATCTCTACCCATCATATGTTGAGTGAGGAAAGTGGGACGCTACTGCAACTGCGGACCCACTCATCTCACACCTGGCAAGTACCAGGACCCCGAAGGTGGTTGCAAAGTTTTTCTGTAACTGGCTGGGATATTTGTGGTCACGGGGTGACAATACTCCCAGGGGTAAGATATCGGCCAAATCATTGGCCACTGTAGAATTTTGATCAAAATGCGCCCTGAAATTCGAGGAGTTGGTCGGTGAAATGTAGATAGTGCGGGTTAATAATATTAATAGTCTTGAACTTACTGAGCTCAGCCTACTGGATTTACTGCATGCATTTCAGTATACTTTGTGTTCGTTTTTCAAAACTAGTTTCTCGTCCAGAAAACGAACTTGAAGGACACATGGTTGGGGGGAAAAAGTGAGAATTGTTCCGGAACATATGTTTGAAGAAAGATATAAAGTGTCCGAAGCAGATCGCTATTAAAAGACAGCTGATGATGAATGCTCTCAGGGAAAATGAGAAATATGGGGAAATAATCCTCGAAATATTGATTGTTTCCTTCATAAGCTGCGTCGTTGAGCTCGTCATTCTTCTTCAAAATTGCTGCCCAAAGCCTTGGATTGCTCGTTCCCTCATCAAATTCACATATAAAAATCAGGGGTTTAATATTGAGAGCTCTGTGGATATTTGCATCTTCTTACGGATCATTTTTTGGGCGACTGGAGGGGTGATACTTTTCACAAAATTTTTTTACTCCAGTGTTTATGGCTATTGATGTTGTCCTCGAAAGTGATTTCATTGCATAGAAAAAAGAGTAATATCATCAATGCTGAGCTTCCTACGAGCATAAAGGCAGTGGACGCGATTGGGGGCGGGCGATCGACACCAACGGCATTGGTGGAAGGGCTGAGTGGGGTGTGCTCGAACGCCTCCCACAGTCCTTCCACCAATGACACTGGCGGCAACCGCACGCCTCCATTCAAGCTGGATGCCTTTGCAAAAAGCAGTGATTCCGATTGTTAGTCTATAAAGTAAGGATGGGTAGGGGTTGGAATGATAAGTAGTGCCGTTCCAAAGCGCAAGGTACAAATGGGGCCCATCGTTGGTTGGTGAAGCGGGAGTCGTATTTGATGGGTACAGGGAGAGGGGGTGTTTAGCGTGGGGATTTTTGGTGATGGTTGATTTTTCCCATTTCGCGCGCGCATTTCCAGTTGGTGTCCTATTTGCTTGCCTTTGGAGGAATTTCCCAAGTAGCGAAACGAAATTTCACGGTCGTCGGCATTTCGCGGTTTTCCCTTTTTCACAAGTACTATACCACTTCCCCTCCCCCGCCCTCATCCTTGACAGTTGTTGGCGCCGCCTGAGTTCTACTATTTCCGATGAGTGAAAATGGTACTTGTTCGGTGGCTTCGGTCCCTTCCGAGCCAGTGAGGTAGTGTAATTCCCGTTGGGAGGGTAAAAACACCCACTGAAACATCGAATGGTCCCGATGGTCATTTTATACATAGGACAAATCCCATCTAGTCCCATTAGTATTCCTAATGGAAATGGCATCCCAAATAGGGGTTAATCAACCCCTAATTTGTCAATTTCACTTCCTAGGCAATTCTGGACGGTAATTGGACGTACTTTTTCACGTTATGTTTGACCCAATAGTTCGCAACATTCGCTTAGCTCGGAATGCCTTATTCTGTTTGGAGACAGTCTTGATTGATAGTTTGCGAATGGTTAGGTTAATCAATCTCGTGCCCATTTTTTGGTATGAGTTCGTGACCCAATAGATAAGTGCGTGTCTTCCGAAGAATAGAATGAACCATTTTTCGCAGCGTTTTGAAAAAAAAAACCCCGGTTTACACCGTCCGAAGGTTACGTCATCCGCGGAACAGATGAGATTGAAACAGGAACGATGGGAAGTGTTTGCAATATACAGTTAACCGGGGACCGAAGATTCTGAGCAGATTTTTGGAATTTGGTGTTGCAATGCAGGTTTGTTCGCAACGATTGACTTATGACGGATGTCCAGTAGGATTGACATTTTTGGACTTAAAGACACCTCCACTTATTGGCAAGTAAGTGGAAATCGGGTTCAAAAAAGAAGGTGCAAATGCGCAGTGACTCAAAAGTGAGGAAAATAGCAGAAGAAACGGCCGAAAGCGTTCAACAAGGCCTTTTAAAGTGAACGAGTTTTTCGGCCTTGCTCGTTTCATGCCAGGGCCGCCACCTCTTTGCAACCCCTCGCCCATAATTGTTTCTCTACATCCTCCAGCACTAAATATCGTCCAGCATGAAGAAATAGACCAGTAGGACGGTTCATGGTTGTGATTTCTTCGGCGTGCACCACGCTTCAGAATTCAGTTCAACATCAGGAAAAAAAATTAGAATGTGTAGCCAGCCCGCACGAAATCTTCGGGAATCATTCGATGCCTGAACACAGTTCGTGCTGGACGTATGGGCGGAAACAGTCAACCGCTTCGACTTTCCTTTGGTCTGCCCCTTCCATGACGGCTGAGCAGGATAGGCCAGTCATTGAGGAGGGTACAATGGTTGAGTGTAACAATATCAGGGCATGTTGTACATTGAGGATCCCCAGCGGAGGGGTCCAGTTTGCCTTTGAAAGAAATGCTGAGAAAGTTTCCGATTTTTTTTGTCTTTTTCAAGTGCGCTATGTGCCCCTCCACTTCTTCCCCCCCCCCCTGCCTACCGCCCTT